CAGCGTTTATGGGGCCAATCACCAGCAAGGGGCGTGGCAGGTCCCGGCCCAGAAGGGTCACCGCGGGGAGGCGGCCACTCACAGCTGCTCCCTGGGGAGGCCGCGAGTCACCACCTCCCTCGGACACGTGGTTTTCTCGTCAACACCGGGGGAGGTTGGAAAGCTTCATGCAGACGGCGTTCCTTGTCCCTTCCATCTTGCAGGCTGGGGTCAAGGCCCATGCAGTGGCCCCACGTGCCCACTAGAGGTCACACCAAAACGAGACCTCCCCCGGGGAGCAGGGATAAAGGAGGACTCTAGGCTGAGCCTCTCCCAGCACAGACTCCTGAGGCAGTCCCAGGCCACAGGTGAAGCCTTCCAGGGCCCAGGTGGAGGAGGGGGACCGCGTCAGGCGCCAGGCGACCCGGCCGCGACATCCCTCAGCTCTGAAGAAGAGCTTGTCGCTGCAGGGGTGGAATCCACAGCCACTGAGTGACCCCAGCCCCGCTGCCCCTCGGCCTCAGCATCAGAAAAGGGAGAAGTCCAAATTGAGCCCCCAGGGGACACTGGGGTCAGGACCCTGGAGAACAGAGGCCGTGCCCTGGCATCTGGGTGAGGCTCGGCACCCAGGCCTGGGCTGTGTCCCCTGCACGCAGCTTCGGCGTCCACTCCCAGGCACAGGAAGGGACAGCAGTGGGGTGGTGTCTCACCCTGCTCACTTGAGAGGCCCAGTGCAGTGGCTCACGCTTGTAATCCCAACACTTTGGGAGGCAGAGGTGAGAGGATTGCCTGAGCCCAGAGCTTCGAGACCAGCCCGGCCAACATGGCAAGACCCTGTCTCTACAACAAATCAAAAAAAATTAGCTGGGCGAGGTGGTGCATGCCTGTATTTCCAGCTACTTGGAAGGCTGAAGTGGAGAGATCTCCTGAGCCCAGCAGGTCAAGGTGGGGTGACAGAGTAAGACTCTGACTCAAAAAAAAAGCAAAAAACACTTGACAGGACTATGTGGAAGATGGTCACATTGGTCCATCATCAGATGTACACATTCCAGTGACCCTGGAAAGCAAAGTGCATCCCCAGGGACAGGTCTCTCACCCAGACAGGAGGCCTTAGGGCCCTGCTCAAGATGATCCGGTGGCTCAGCCCAGGGACAGGGCCAAGGCCAATCCCAGGGGAAGGCCAGAGACAGCAGCAAACCTGGAGGGGAGGGCATGCCCCCTGGCTAGGGACCTGACTCTATTCTCCTGGGAAGCACATGGCCCAGGAAGGAGGCCACAGCCAACAGGCCCAAGCATCCCCAAGGCCTGTGGGAGAAGGCAGCAGGGCAGGATGGACAGGCCAGTGGGTCACCAACCTGGGGCGCTGTGTCCTGACAAGGGATTGGCTTCTGAAGCACCCAGAAAATAGGGGTGTGTCTTGCAGTCAACAGAGGGAAGATGCCAGCCCTGCCCCATGTGCCACCCCTGAAGAGAGGCAGAGAAAGAGGAAGTCGTGCTCTCCGCCCTGCTATGACCACCACCCAGTAGTTGCACCATTTTCAGCTTTTTGCCAAATGTGAGTTGGCTAAAAAGTCTTGTTTTGCATGTCTGCATCTTACACAAATGACCCCTCTCGTTTGATTCCATGTTTTGCATCGTGGCAGTGATGCTGTTTGTGGTCGCATGACACCTTCAGTGGCCCCACCACGTCCCTCCCCTGCCACACAGAGGGACCCTCAGAGCGTGCAGTGTTGCAACATGGCCACACCCCTGCTCTTGGCTTCTCTGGGTGATGCCTCGGGATGGTGCTGCTGATGTCTGGGTTGCCATCCTTGGCTCCACAAGCTAGTGCCAGCTGGCCCCAACACAGCTGCCCTGCCTGCGTTCCTGTCCCCTTGCGTCACAGCTAACACATGGTAATGCTTGACAACTTCTGCCAATTGACGTGGTTTGAGTGCATTTCCATGGAAAAATGTTCTTTTCCTAAAAACCAAGGCTGATAGTATTAATCAGCAACAGTGACTCCAGGGGGCTGGGATGGGAACAAGAGGTACTTTTACTATGTGAAATACTTGAACGGTTTACAAGGATCTATTACTTTCCTAAATAAAAAAAAGGCAGGTGAGGTCTGGGCACGAAGGCTCACCTGTCATCCCAGCACTTTGGGAGGCGAGAGGATTGCCTGAGCCCAGGGGTTCAAGACCAGCCTGGGCAACTTGGCGAGACCTCATCTCTGCAAGAAATCAAAAAGTTAGCCAGGCATGGTAGCACGTGCCTGTGGTTCCAGCTAGCCAGGAGGCTGAGGCAGGAGGATCACCTAAGCCCAGCAGGTGAAAGCTATAGAAGCCGTGATCATGTGAATGCACTCCAGCCAGGGCAACAGAGTAAGACTCCAACTCAAGCACAAACAAAAAAAACTTTGTGTGAACCTACAAGGAGAAACCACCACACTGATCCAGGTGATAGCACCCCGGGGCATAGCAGCTGCTTCCTGGGGACCTTGCTGCCAAACTTGCACCCAAAAGGGTGGCACGTCTCTTCACAAACCCAGGAGCCATCTTCATCAGTCAAGGGCTCAGAGGAGCTTGAGCTCAGACAGGACCATGCTTTCCTTCCCAGTAACAACCGAGCAGGACACCAAAACAAGAAAAGCTTCTGCTGCCTTCATATGCTCTGGCTGGTCTCACAGAAAGGTTCTGGAAGAGATACCGCCTATCTCCAGCCCCCTGAAGGTAGGCATGCAGCCATGGAGCTGGTGGGGACAGAGTGTTCAATGGCTGGCACAGCCTTATCCCCAAAGTGCCAGTCACTGAGGCCTGCGTGGCTTCTTAGAGATAATTTGGAGGTGACAGAGTCAAGTTACATCCAGCTGTCTCCTCAGAAATAGGATAGGGCGGGCAGTCTGCTAACACTGGGGTCGACACTGATTTTATTCTCAAGGCAGGCAGTGGTTCTGTGAGCACATCCTGTAAGTTTTTTTTTTTTTTT